TAATTCTTTTTTTATTTTAAAAATTAATGATTATTTTGTAATGTGTGATTGATTTTTTATAATTTTAAAAAAAGGTGAAGATTTAAAATTTTAATTTGTTAAATTCTAAGCTCGGAGTGTTTAGCATATTTAATTAATTGTCTCATACTTTGATTGAAGTAGAAAATTTAAATATTTAAGGAAATTAATGTGATGAATCTGTAAATTAAAATTATCAAAAAGCTGTTTCTTTGTTTAAAGCAGGCTAAATTTCTATAAGAAATGTAACAATCACTGGAAATAGTTTTTGCAATTTAAATTTTATCTCGATTGTAGCTTAAAATTAACTAACTAATCTTTAATTTAAATTATTAAATATCACAATATCAAATAACTTAATAAAATCTCTCTCCCAGGGAGTATTGTTTACTTCTTTATTTTCTCTTCTTACTCAACCAGATCATATGATTATTGCTTAAGATATAATTAATTTTAATAATAACATAGTCCAAGAATAATAAATTATTAACAATTAATACTTTTTTACAAGCTTATTCTAAACTAGTAATATATATAATATTACTCTATCAAATATAAATTCAACTGATAATCACTATCTATCTTTTATTAGTAGCTAAAGGACATTAAATTTTTTTACAGATACATTTATTTGCTCTTATTCTGATGATTATTTTAACTTTTATAAAGGAAAGCCATCTAGTGGATGTATTAGTTTGTAAGAAATGAGCTTGATAAAAATGGTAAACTTACATTTTTTCTAAAAGGTAGCATACGATTGCAACTTAATTGATATTTCAAATTCAAAAATAGACAAAACACAAATTTAATTTTATAATAGTACTTTTTCTAAAATTTACTCAATTCAATCTTAGCAGTTTAATGATACAAATCCGATAGCAATTCGATCTTCTTTTATGAATGATTTACTCATTTAAAATTGTACTTTCTCATAAAACGTATTAGCTGGTATTCCAAATTCAATAGCTCTTTCAAGTTCAGGCTTAAGTATTGTGAATATTGTAGGAAATGTTTTGATCAATTAGAGTTCATTTTTATATTTAGGCTCCAACTCTGACATTAATGGTTTATCTATTTTGTCAGAAAATCTATCAATAAGCCGTTCAACATTTGATACTTCTTTAAGTTTGTCTAGCTTAATTTAGACTAAAAATAGCTTTAACTAAAATATTAATATCAAAGGAGGTTTTATGAGAGTCAAGGCTTCTAATTTATAAATTACATAATCGAACTTTCAAACATCGGAATCTCAAATAGGAGGATTTATATATGCCATATCATATTCTAAAATATTTGTAATTAACATTACTGAAAGTAATTTCTCTGATAGCTTAATTTAACTAAGCGGAGGTATTATATTCGTGGACACTTTAGGTTCTATATTGGAGTTTTCAATATCAAATTCTCTTTTTAAAAATATATTCTAAGTGGCTCCAGAATCATCTCTCATTTAGTTAAGGTATTTGACTATATTTTGATTTTTAAAATCTCAAATTTATTTTATTTTTATTAAATATATTTATTTAATAATAATTTCTTTAAAATTTTATAAAAAAGCTAAGATTCTTTTGGGAAAAATGCTCAAATAAATAATTTTTTAAGATTAAATAATGTTAACTTTACTAATATATATGGAGAAGACATATCTTCTATTTTTTCACTAGCTTTTTGTTAACTAAATATATCTTAATCAGTTTATAGTTTTGATTAAAGTATTAACCGTCAATAAATAATATCTCTATAACTAAATTCTATACTGTATCCTTCGACTTACATAACGTCAACCAAAAGCTAAGTTTATTTAGAAGGTGTTAGTATTTAGGAAGTTTAAAGCTTGTACTAAAAATCTAATAATCATTAAGTATTTTTTAGTTCTCAAAACTCTAACTTTGAATTAAAAGACTGCACTGTGAAGAATATAGTAATGAGTATAGGTGGGATAAGTTATTTTGAATAAGGTTCCATAGACATTTCAAATCTATAAGTCAACAATATTTAATTTTAACCAAATATGAAAAGTTTAAGATTTATACAAAATAATAGCATTATTTAAAACTTTGTCACTGTTTTTTACTTTACCAGCTCTATTATAAATATGAGTAAATCTAATGCCACAAACATTTTCTGCCAGAATATATGTGAGGGAGGATTAGGCTTGATAGAAAAATCCGAATTAACTATTTAAAATTCTAACTTTTCAGCTATAAATGTAAATTTTCATTTAAAATTAATTTTAATTTATCTAATTTATTTTATAATAGTCAAATAATGGAGGAGTTTTTTCAATAATTAATCCTTAAATAAAAACGACGTTAAATTAAAATATATTTTAAAATAATACTTGCAATTAAAATGGAGGAGCATTATAAATAACTTCTAATTACTAGTTGGTAACTATCATAAATCATTATTTAATAGTAATTAATTTAATATTTTCTTTTTATGATAATAGGCTTTTAACATTTAGATATTAGGAAATATCTTTTTGAATAACACAGCATAGTAAGGAGAAGGAGGATCAATTTATTTTTATTCATAAAATTCATCTGCAGACGATTCACTAATTATCTAAAATAGTGTAATTTAAAAAAATAAAGCTTACATAGGAGGAGGATTAAAGTATGAAGGAATAATCCCAACTTTAATTAATAATTAAATATCTGATAATACTGCAATTTTCTATGGTTAGAATATTTTTTCTTATCCTAGTAAGCTGTTTCTTGAGAATAGATAAGAAATAACAAGCAATTACTAAGGCATTTAAGTGTAAGATAATAAAATAATTATATCACAATAAAGAACAGGAGGTTCTATTCCTAATATGAATTTTACCTTAAGAAACGATTATGGAGATATAATGTAATTTGGAAATAAAGAAATGTAACAAGTATTTCTAACTATACAAATCGATCCACAAACACCATTTTTTTCTGAGTATTATTTAAGAGGAGAGTCAAAAGCAATCTACAATTTTGAAGGGAATTGCTTTCAATTTAAAAATATAGATTTAATAGGTAAGCCATAGACTACTGTGAAGCTAATTATCAAAAGCGATTTAATTAGAGACTCAAATTCATAACAATTGACTAACAATTATTATTTTGAAATTTAAGCTTATATTTAAGATTGTTAAATTGGATAAATTCCATATAAATATAATGGATTCTAAGAATGTGTTATTTGTGAAAAGGGTACATATTCATTTGATTAGACATAATGCTATAAATGTCCCTCTGGAGCAGAATGTTAAGGAGGAAGCCAGATTACAGTTGATTAAGGTTTTTGGAGAAAAGAGTAATATGATAGCAACATAATATAATGTGAGCATTAGTAATCGAATTGTGTAGGAGGTTCGTATGGAGATTAAATTTGTTATAAAGGACACATTGGGGCTCTATGTGAAGAATGCGATGTATTTTATTTCTTTTAATTAAAGATTAAAATATCTTATTTAATTTTGAAACAGATATTTGGTGAAGTTTGGGGAGAGAGTTATGCAAAATCCAGTAAATATTCATGCACTTTATGTAGCAAAATAGTAGGTAACTTGTATATAATTGCTACGGTTACAATTTGGACTCTTGTTTCTATGATAATTTCTATCAAGGGTTATGAAAATTATTAATATAAGTAATATTAATCACAGTTCTTATAAAAAATTGTCAGAAAGAAAACATACTTAAGAGGAAATAAAAAAAGTAATTTAACTGCAAAAGAAGATTAAACAAGTGTTTATATAAAGATATTTACAAATTACTTTTAAATTATTTCTTCAGTAGCTACATTCAATTTATAAGTGCCTTCTGGTATTTATTTTTTTTTTTTTTCTATCATAAAGATTATCTAAAAAATATTTTTATAGGTATAATAGAGTTTCCTACATCTCTTGGTTAGCCCATCTCTTAAACTATCAATTCTTTAGACTGTGCTCTCAAAAAATTTAACTCTAGCATGCCTATTATTTACTTTAGACTTATTTTCTCAATCTTATTACCTGTTGCTTATTTGGTTATCTTTGTAGTTTTTCTAGCGATTTACTAAAAGATTATAAAAAAAGAAAAGGATTTCCCTTACTATTTAATATATACAGCTTATATTTTTTTACTTATTTATACTTAACCTGATTTGGTAGCTTAGATGATAGCTTCACTTTCATGCAGATAAATAGGAAATGTAAAGTATATTCTTTCAAATGTATCGATGGAATGCTACACATAAGATTTTTATAAATGGGGATTTGGATTTATTTTGCCTTTTTTATTTATCTTTTTATTTTTATTGCCTTACATCCTAATAGTTTAGCTAAAGAAAGCAAAAAATAACTTATAATTGCTGGAAATAAAAAGAAAATATGGCTTCTTGTACAAAGAATACACTTAGAAGTGTTATTACTGGGAATTTGTAAAAATGGCATAAAAATTAGCCATAATATTATAACTAAATTTTTACTCATAAGATATCAAAACAAAGGGTATACTAGTTTTTATTACTGTGACTTTCTATTCTATTTCTCTAATGATATATAAGCCTTACAAAAGCAATCAGATAAACTAACTAGATCATTACTCAACTAATGTTTGTGCAATCTCTGTCTTGTTAGGATTATTTATTTACAGCAACGATTACAATTACTTTGTTATAATGTCTTTAATTTTGATTATACTGATTAATTTTTTATTTATATTAATGATGGTTAGAAACATAATTCTAGGTTATACAAAAAAATTTTAAAACATAATATAAACTTTTTTAGAAAAATTCGGATCAAGAATAAAATTCATTTAAAATTATTTGTTAAAAAAACAGTAAATAAAAGAATAAAAGTTTAAAAGAACCCAATAAATTAAATAAAAGGTGATGAAAATTTTATTAATTTTAAAAGATTTGAGTTATGAGTAAAGAAAAAATCTTGCTCTATAGACTCTTGGTGCTTTAATAGGTAAATAAATACTTATTGATTATTTTGTATTTTAATTATTATTAAAAGATAAAAGGTATTCTAAAAACTATGATAATGAAAAGCAAAAGACACTTAAATCAGAATAAACTCTTACAAATAAAATTACTAATTTAAATCTTAATTTCAATATAGATATCAATATAGAAGAACATGGTATCTTTATTTTTATATTTTAATTTTATGAAATAATTTTATTTTATGTAGAAAAAAAATAGAATGAAATTGAAATCAAAAGCTCTTAGCTTCAAATTTTTGAATAATTTTTAGGTAAAAAAGTATAACAAAGTTAAAGAAGTTTAATTCAAAATGAGATATAAAGTTAAAATGAGGAAGATTATCATATTGAAATTGATGAAAAAAAAAGCATAGAAAAAGAATTAGAATAATATAAGACAATGTAAATAATCAATTGAAGTCATTCAAAAATCTTTTAAAATAACAAAATACTTAAAAATTAAAATTATGTAATTATTGTTTTTTTATAGGAAAAATAAATAATTATTTTTAAAAATATTCTTTTCAAACTCTATAGCAAAGTTTTATAAAGTTTACCATAATTATTGCTAACAAGAAGTAATATAATAAATTTTTAACTAAAAGTTAAATTTTTGTTTTTATCAAAATTTGAGTTTATAAATTTTTTTATTGCTGTCACATTTGTAGGATTTTAAATGAAATACAATATACATTTACATATTTTTTATTTATCATCGAATTATTAAAAAAAATATAATATTTTAAGTTTTAAAATAATTAAAATATGTATTTTTGAATATAAAGTATGATAGCTTTTATGAAATAATGCATTTTATTTAAATATTTTAATTAAAATAAATTAAATAATGTATTTAATTTAAATATTGTAAAATAATAAATTTTTTTTGAATTTTTGCTTACTATTTTGGGTTTTTAAATATAAAAAATGAATGAAATATTGAAACCATTCATTTTTTAAGTTTAATTTGAACACTTTTTAAATTCAATAAAATTCAAAAAAGAAAGAAATCACTTTTATAGTTTCAATCATCTAAAAATTGATTATATCCAAATATCTTTTTAATTATTGTTTCATAGAATTTAAAATTTGCACATTCATAATTATTATTAACAAATCACAAAAAAATTGATATATTATTATAATTTTTTCAAATTATTATAAAAAACAATATATTTAATGAACAATAATAACATAGTAGATGGAGCTAGTATTTAGCAATATGCTCCCAAACCATAATAGTAAATATAGGTTTAATATCAATTTTAAAAGTAAAATATATTAGTCAAACCACCTTCATAAACAGTACAACCTAAATAAATACCAAAGCAGCCAATATTTGGTTAAAAAAAATAAGAATTTACATAGCAAAGTACTTTTATTATTTATAAAAAATAAGAAATTTAACTAGTTTATTAAAGATCATTTTTTAAATAATTAAAATAAATTTAAAAAAATAGATTTAATTCATGAAACTTCACCTGATATGAGAATAAACATACAAAAAAGGGAAAGCTTGCCTAAAAATTTTTAATATAGAGTAACTTCTGTAGATAAAAATAAAGAAAATTTAACAAATATTTAATAGAATTAGCAATAAAACTAAGCTGTTCATGTTAGAGAAAGAAGCTTTGATAATTATTAATCGGTACCTCCAACAAATTTGGTCCATATATAATCCTAACCATAAGTCTCTAGCGAGTAAGCTTAGAATAATGTCTCTAATACAGCTCAAATCCAAAGTAATTTATCTCAGCATAATACATCAACTTAATCCCAAAGTGGAACAGGTAGTTATACTTCTCAATAGCAAAATAAATAGATATTTTAACAGTAATACTATTCTAGCAATCCAAATTAGTCAGTAAACTAAAAAGTTTAAGCTAATATTAACTAATTCAGTCCAATACCAAAATCACATAATTAACAATAACTAAATTCTTAGTAATAATAACAATAGAATATCTAATAATAATAAAACACTATAAAAGTTTAATAATAACAGCAAGAAAATTTATAAATAAATCAATAACAATAACAAAATGTGGTAAATTAGAATTCATAAATTTCTATGAATCTCATACAGGAATTAGTTAAATCTGAAATTAAAGCAGCTTTGATTAACTTTAAAAAGGAAGAGTAAATAAATAAATTAATTCAATTATTAAAATAAATTCAATAAAACTTTATTATACAATAGAAAATTAGAAAATTTATCTCAGAGAGTAGAACAATTAGAAGATAAATCTAGCTTGAAATAATTAATTTAAGTTGAAAGTACATAGGTTAGTAATGAAATTTATTAATTTATAAGTGAGCTCAAAAACGATTTCAGTGCAAAGCTGACTAAATTAAACGACTAACTTCATTTGAACTCTGAATCTTGCAAATCAAATGCTTATGCTGTTTCTTAAATTTCTGAAAAGATCTTGAGCTTTAGCAAAGAGTACACTGAAACAACTAATAAAGTAAAAAATTGTTAAAAAATAATAAATAAATCCTTAATTATATTTTTTTAAATGAATTTAGATAAAAGAAGATAAAAATTTAAATTAGATTTAAATATAAACTTTTGATGAAAAATACAATGCATTGTTTGCTAATTTTACTAAGCAAATCCTTGATATGGAAAACAATTTTAAAAAGATTCTTGTGGATGAGGGAGCTAAAATAGAAAAACAAATATAATAATTAGCTCAAGAATATAATATCCTACCAACTAAAAGAAATTTACCTAATTAGTCAGACTCTTCTTAATCTTCCCCTTAAAAAAATAATAAATCTATTCATATGCACAACAAATCTAACGATTCAATAGTTCAACTACCTTAAAATGGCACAAAGTCAACAAACACATCTCTCATATAAAACATTAATGATTACAATTCTATCATCAGAGAAAATTCTTAAGTTGATATTGATTAAAATTAATAATTACAATAGCTCTCAAGAAACACATCTAGTTTATCTCAATAAAATTTACATCCTCAATCACCAAATCACTAGTAAGAATAGTATTCTTACTCTAATAGAAGTTCAACATAATACTCTAGAAGAAGTCATACAGAGTCAAATATCTCACAGTCTGCTCAAAATGTAAAATTTGATTAAATAATATTTAAAAAAGTTATTAAAAATTTTTAATTATTAAAATATCAGGTCTTATAGACATCTCCTACAGCCTAAATTCTTCCTAGCAATATTAATAACATTGAGAATTATGTTAAAAAGTATGAAGAATTTAATAAAGAAGTAGATAATTATCTGTAAAATAGAAAAATACCAACAAAAGTATAAGAACTCATGAATTAATCCTCAGAAATGAAATCTTCCAATTTGTTTGATTAAGGATATTCTGCTTAATAACAATAATAGTTTATAATTTAGCAAAATGGTTAGTAAGTTGTCTCACCACGTCCTTTATTTGTTAACAAACCTCTCATACCAACTTCCCCTAATGTTTTAATAGTATCTCCACCATAAGCTGATAAACTATAAATGTAGGCTTAATATGAGCAACTTTACAGATAATAAACTATTTCTTAGCCTTAATTTAGCCAACAGACACCAATATAATAAAACCTAAATGTTTAAAATGCAAACTAAACTTAATAAATAGACCAAAAACGACTAAATTACTAATCATTGCAGTAAAACAGAAAAGCATTTGAGGACTATAATGGAAATAGCATAAATTCCAGCACATAGATTTCCCCTTCAAGAGTTGAATAAATAAATTTGGATGTAGACTCTTTCAATAATGAAATATAATTCAGTAATAACAAAATTGATCAAAACATTATTGGTTAATAGTAGTAATAGAAACCAAATGAGGTATGTTCGCCTCAAAAATCTCATGAAAATATGAAATTCTCCATTATTAGATCACAATAAAGTAAATTAATTTTATTAATTTAATTTTTCATAAAAATTAATTTATTTGATGATTTGTAAAATAAAAACAGAAAATCCATAGTTATCAATGATAAGCGAATAAGACAATGAAGAAGAAGAACTTATATATTAGCTAGATGATTAAGGATATTTGATGGATGAACATGGTAATTACATACTTGACGAAAAAGGGTAATAAGTTAAACTAAGTGGTGAGCAAATAGATTATTTAAGAAACTAAAATATTCTTGAGGAGTGATTTTGAAAAAAAATTTTGTTATTTTATAATCTCTAAATTTTTTGAGTTATGATAATTAAAAGCATAGACTTTATAATTAAAAATATAAAAGAAACGTATATTAAAATATTTTTATTGTAAATATATATTATTGTTATTACTTCATGCTATTAATTTTTTATATAATTTATTATTGAAATCATTCTTATATAATCACTCTAAAAAAGATTTTGTTTTATAATTTTCATAGAAATTAAGTGAATATCATTCATTTAAAGTAAAATTAGGATCTATATTATATAATTACTCATAAAATTAACATTTATTTGCTTATAAAAAAAAATTTGTAAGTTTTTTTAAGCCATTAACTTATAAAAAAAACATAAAAAATATATTGAAAAAGCAGTATTTGAATTTAAAAAGTTAATCCGAAATTTAAATAAATGCTTAATATTACTAAATTTTTTAAACTAAACGAACTAAGCAATTAACTTGGTTTGAAGTCATTATGATAATTAATCAATATTAATTGGTAAGTTAATCCATATTTATATTTACTTTTTAAATAAATTAAAAAATATCACTGTTTAAGTTAATAATTTTTGCTTTTAAATATACAATACTTATAAGCTACTATGATTATTGGAATCTAAAAAAATTATCAGAATATATTAAGAAGAATCAACATTTTTTAATTTTGTTCAAACATACTGAATATTAATGTTTCAAACTTTAAAAAATTTATTTGTTAAAAATTTAAAAGAATTATTGATTTAAGTAATATCTTAACTAAATATAGCTTAAAAATACGCTTAATTTGACTTAGTAATTATAAAAAATGAATAGCTATTAGCATATGACATTATATGTGTATTATATATTATTATTTTTTGTAAAATAACCTTGATGAAATCAATTTTTACATATTTTATCATTAGAAGGTGGATTTAATTTTCTTTAGTTGATAAATCATAAAAAAATAAATATAATTTACGTACATAACATTAATTGAAACAAAGAGCGAAAATAAATTTTTTATTTTAAATCCAACAGCGAACATGTTTAACTACCTAATTATTGTAAAAATTATTTCCATAGTTATAGTTTTGGGAGTAATTTAAGTGATAGCTTATTGGCGGTATAAGAAAGAAAGCATGAAGCAGCAGTTTGAATCTTTATTAGGATTAGCTAATTCTTTTATATCTGGATTATTGCTCACAAGTAGTTTAGTCTACTTACTTCCAGAAAGCTACAACTTACATTTATAAGCAAATAAAGAGGCGATAAATGATTTTCCATGGATTTTTTCAGTATTTTGTTGCTCTTTTGCTTTAATTAGCATTTTAACTTAGTTTTATACATATGATAAATATTTTAGAAAGCGGATTATTAATGATTATTTAAATTCTGAAAAAATCGAAGGATATGACCACTATTACGGTTCAGATTATTATGAAGATACTTAAAGCTAATTTTAGAAATCTAACTAATTATTCCACAATACACTTTAACAAAGATAAAATCTTCACAGATATTCATAAACAATGTAAAATCCAAAAGACTCATACTTGACAAATAAACTGTCTTGTTCTATAACTACTCCTTAGTACGGAAATAAAGGACATAATCATATAGACGATGATCATAATCATCTAGTATAGTCCCCATACTATGGAGACTATTATTAAGATCCTAAAATTGAGTTAAATAATTACAAACCTGAATATCTTTTTTTGATTTACTGTATACATTCATTCTTTGAATGCTCTGCTATAGGCTTATAAAGTTAGACTCTTCCTACAATAATGATTACTCTTTCAATCTTTTTGCATAAGTGGTTTGAAGTATTATTTATTCAAATGTAAACTAAATTTTCTATATGTAAACCAAATAGCTCAAATCACTTTTTAATTATTTTGTATACCATCTCTAACATTAGTGGCATTGGCTTTGGATGGTTTGTAGAAAATTAACTTAGTGATATTAAAAATGCTGCTTTTTTAAGTATTAGTGGTGGTACTTTCTTTGCTATATCAGTTAATGATATGTTGCACACAGAAATCAATAGGGGAAACAAATAAAGATTAATTAAAATTTTATTATTTATTGTTAGTATAGCCCTAATAAACTTAGCTTGGTACGCCTAAAAGTAAATTTCAGAGCATGACCAAGAATTCGAATGAAACATCTACTTGCCTTAACCTATCTATCAAAGATAACAAAATTAGACTTTATTTTGAATTTAAATATTTATTTGATTAGCTTAAACTTAAATAATAAATCTGTAAAATATAAAATAATATAATTTATCTAATAAATTACTCTTTTGTTGTTTATTAAAATTATTTATTTTTTTGACTAAATTTATATTTTTCAAAGAATTTATTATGTTAGAAATTTGGATTTTAGCATTAATTTATTATTATATTTTCTATTTATCAATTAGCAAAATTTATGAGTTATAAGCAAACAATAAATAGCTTTTATAACTTTCGTCAAATAAATATTTTATGAAGAATTTATGAATGATTAATATTAATTTTTTACTGAAAGCAAAAAATAAATCTAATTTGTTTTTGTCTAATACTTAGAAATATATTATTTTACAAAGGGTAAAGGTTGTCAAAAAGAAATAAAAAACGAAGTATTGTAATAAATTGATTTAGTATGACTGAAAAGCCTTTTATAGAAGATTATGAAGGTGATGCTGGAGAATATTTAGCTTTGTAAAGCAAAGTTTATATTAAACTCAATTAAAAATATGAGAAAATGATAGGCTAATTGATTGAAATGTATTCTAGCTTTGTTAGAAAGGGTATCGGCATGAAAAGCATAGGTTTTTAAAAATAGGAATAAATATTCAATGAATATGATGAAGAGGAATTTAAGAAATAACCTGATTTATTAATCGATGGAATATCTCAACTCATGAATTCTCTATTTTAAGTAACAAATGAGACACTTAATAAATTAAATAGTAGAGATGATGCATTACAAGGAGCGTACGATGAAGTGCTTTTAAGATTAGAAAAAGAACTTAGGTAAAATAAAACTAGCAAAAATTAAATTCATGATTATACTTTTTTATAAATTAAGACTATTTAAATATAAATTAACATGATGTAAAAATAATTGCAATATAAATTAGATAGAGTATGAAGAATGAAGAAAAGCTTAAAATTCATTTAGAATGCTTAACTGTAAAGTAAGAGAGCTTAAGGAAATAGGTTTTTAGAGCAGAAGAAATATCAGATAAACTTAGATAGGAAGTAGCTTCAACTAAAAAGGAATATTAAAATAAATTTAGATAAATGGAAACAGAAATTATACATCTTAAAAAAGAAAAAGAGAGTGCAAAAAGTATGTAAAGAAAGTTTGAAGCAAGTAGATCTATTTTTGCAGAGCGTCCACATACATCTAATTAGGGCAATATGGATGATTTTAAGTAAATTAAAAATCAATTATCATTATTTTATCAAACAATTTTAATCTATAGCAATAATGAGTTTGTAAGTTCATAAAAAGTAAAAATAGCTGATAGTAAAGGAACTTCTAATTAGTTTGATTTTAATTAGTTACATTTAAATAACTATACATCTATGCCTTCTACTTTGCAAAAAACATAAGGAGTTACTAGTTCATTAGATCCTGAGAGATTTATTATGCTAAAAAAATCTCTAATTCGTTAACCTGATGAGGCAAGTAATATGGAGAAAAAAAAATTATCTCACTAAGTTATGTAGGTAATAATCAAATAAATATATTTATAAATAAGTTTATAAAAAGAGCAAAATGTTGATAATTTATTTTTTATGCTTAGGCTAACAGATCAAAAGAGGTGGAAGCATAAAAATATTAATATGAAATAAATAGACTTAAAATCTAAATTGAATAAAAAGAACTTGAAAATAAAAAAATAAAGAAAAGTTTGGATGAGTTACATAATGAGCTAAAGAAATTAAAAGATGAAATAATGGCAGAAAATATGAAGAAGTGGGCTGTAGAAGTTAGTAGTGAAAAGAATCCTCATCTTGTTGGGTATTATAAAGACAAATTAGATTTAAAAGAAAAAGAGGTTAAAACTCTTAAGAAATCATAAAAGAAATTTGCAATTTTAGAAAAGAAATTGCTTGTAAAAGAAAAAGCATTTGAATATGAACGTGCAGATTATCATGAAAAATTGCTTTATTTAGATGATAGGGTTAAAAAAATTAGTAAACTATATTCAGAAGCATCATAAATTTTAAAGTAGCCTAAATACGGTTACACTCCTGTATATTTATAAGAGAATAATGAGTGAGAAAAGTGTGTGTATTTTTATTTGGGATAATTCTAAAATATATGTTAAAATTGTATATAAAAAAATATAAGGTCCTTTAAGAATATCTTTCAATTTCTAATAATATAAATAATATTTAAAAAATATTTTTAAAGATTTTATCCATGATTATTCATTATAATAGATTAAATCTTAACTTAAACTTCCTTAACCTATGTAATCTAAGGTGCAACAGGCCTTTTTTGGTCACCTTTTTTAAGTAGGAACCTCTCATTTTGAGTTCAATTTTTAGTTTAAAGAATTAACTTTTATTTAAATTTGAATATATTGGGTAACTTTATATATTAATTTATATTGGTCACCTTTTAAAAATGTCCTACTATTAAGCTAATTCTTTACACCCCTAGATACAAAATATATGTAAATGGCTTTTTACTTATCAACTGTAAAAATAAATATTTAGTTTCAATTATTTAATTTAAAGGAAATTAGGCTACAATGAATTAATAATTCATATCAATTAATATGATATTAAAAACTTATCTTATTAACATAAACATAAAAATATTAACTTTTATTTTAATTTTCCACTTTAAAATATTTTAAATTCTTTTAAGTAAGTTGAGTAAAGATTGATTTTTAATTTGTCTTGTTTTCAGTCTTGAAAATAAATGATTTATTTCTAAAATCATCAAATAATTTTTTGTTGAACTATTTATTTAAAACACCTGTCAATAAAATAAAATAATATATTAAATTGTTTACATACACAAAATAATAAATGTTTATTTAATAATCAGCTATAATAAATAGATTTTGAAATTCCTGTAGTTATACTATCCATCCAATTTTTGTCTTTGCTATCTTTCTTTTATTCTTTACCTATTTTAATTTAAAAATGATTATACTTGTTTATTTATTATTTTAATTAATTTTTTTTTTGCACCTTGCCATTTAGCTACTAAAGGATACTGGCCTGGTCCAGGAACTATTTAGCTAGTTTTAGATTTTGTTTTCTTAGGGTCTTTAAAACGTTCTTCTGTTCCCATGTACCTTACTGAGCTCTTTTTGTTACCTCCTTCTTCTTGAGTTTTCACTAGCATCTTACCAAAAGTAGCATAGTCCAATGGATAGTTCATTTTGTAAGTACCAACATCAGGTAAACTTGATTTAGCAGTTTTACTTAACTTTGCTTTGTGAAAAGCAATCCATTTATCAGGGCTCATGTTATCTTTATGGATTTTTGGCAATATAGGCTATTTATTTATTTCATTAAAAAATCATCATTTATTTTTAAATTTAATAGAACACTTCAAATTATTAAGATAAAGATTTATAATCAAACGAAATGAGTTTTTTTTAATTTGTCTGCAATATTATAATTATTATTTACTCTTGGATTATAATTTCCAGGGCCTGGAAGAGTGCTTGAAAGATATTCATATTCTTGCAAGTAATTACTTCTTTCACCATATCTATTTTGTCAAATCAATTATATATTTATGCTTATTTAAATTAATATAATGCAAATCACTTTAATTTTTTGTTCATTTTTTCTGCTTCTGCTTTGACTTGTTCGTCTGTTTTTAAAATATTATATTTTCCAGGACCAGGTATACCTCTACGCTATTACTCTAAAAAGATCTGTTCTATGAAAGTATTTTTCTTTGTGTTTTTAGGAAGTTTTTTGCCTTTTTCAATTTCTGCGTCTGAAACCCATTTGTAGGTAACATCATACTTTTAAGGTCCAGGATTTTATCCTCTAAATTTTATTTCATCTTCAAGGTAGCTTCCTCTTTTTGTTATGATTTTGTTATTTTTAGTAGCCTTTCCTGATTTACTAATTTCTTCAAAATGCCTATCCTAAACAACTTTGAGATGATCAAAATATTTTTTGGGAACTTCATATCCATCCAAACCCCAAGCTGCATGTTATCTTGTTGATATGTTATACATCTCCATGATTGGCATTAAAGTCACTTATTTTAAAAAATTGTAAATAATGCATATAATTTAAATGCTTTTAAATAATTAATCATTTGTTTAATGTAACATATTCCCCCTAATCTGTATAAATAATATTAATTTTAGAGAATTCCATACTTGAGGCTGATTTTTAAACTGAAGGTAGAGATTAAGACATATTTAAATAACTTGAATTTTATTAATCGATTAATCTACTTTATAAATAAAAGTTGCTTAGTATTTCCTTTTCAGCTATTTTTTTCACTGTATAATTTTAATTAAATTAGAAAACTAATAATAAACACTGCATAAAAAAAACAGTTTCTCAAATTAATAATCAATAAACTAAAATGACTTTTATTTGATAATTTATTTAAGTAGTTTTTCCAAATAAAACAAATGATCATTTAAATCTATTATTAAATAAATTATTTAAATAGTAATTTTAATTAAAATAAATATTTCAAGGCTTTGAAGTAAATTAAAAATAATTTTTTATAAGCATTTAATTCATATTATATTTTAATTTTAATTTTCATTTCATATCTCAATTCATAAATGAGATACTCTTAATTAAAATGAAATTAATAAATTAATCTAATAAAAATATATTTTATTTTAAGTTTAATATATTTTCTAAGTCCATTTACTACATAAAAGTATATATAATATGTAATATATAAAATTCACATCATATAATAAATACTATTATTATTAAAATTAAAATTTAAAACATGTAGATGAGTTGATTTAGTATAACTTTAAAGATAATATTAAATAAAACAGCTAAGGTTAATCTTTCTTTAAAAAAAGTTATTTCTGTATAAGAAATTTTCAAAAAAGGGTATGTTAGGAGTGCAAAAAAATGTAAATTTACACCATAAATTTTAAAAGTTCCTTTATATTTATAGAAGAATAAAGAAAATAAATTTTTGTTGTAAAAGTAATATTTATTTTTATTGGTAGTTAATTGACTGTTATAGATCAATAAAGTTATAATTCTGGTAATGAAGGCAATAGTGTGGAAAATGATTTTTCAGATGACGGTATCATTAAGAATTTATGATGATTAATTTTATGAAAATTATGAAGAATGTAGGAGGAAATTTATTATTGATAAAGATTTAATTAATGAATTTTATTAATTATTTAATTAAATATTTTTTTAGTGATAAGAATAGTTCTAAAAAATGATAATATCCAATTGAAGAAATAAAATTTTAAAAAAATCTAATTTTTTTTTCTTAAAACGAATGATAACAGTAATAAGAATAATTTTATACTTAGATGAACAATATATTACCTTATTAATAGCAAAAAAGATATTTTTAAAATTTAAAAAAAACTATGTCATTTTATAAATTTTAATGTGTTTTTTATAATTTAAAATATTAAATTTTATTTATTATTTCCTTTAATAGTACCTCTCATTAGTATTAATTTGGTTGTTTGATTATCTTTTCATAAGTAACATCAAAGCTTTACGAAAAAAACTTAATTTTGGCCTTTTAAAACCTGTAAGCAAAAAGTTTTTTTAATAATTTTAATTAAGGTAAAGACTGTAAATAATAAATAAATTTTTAGAAAAAGTAAATAAATATTTGTTTTGTAAATAAAAGTTTACTTTTTAAATAATTAAATTTATGAAATTTTCTATTTTAAATAAATTAAATAATAAGAAATAGTTAAGTGATTTGTTTGAAATGAATATTTTTCTAATAAACACACATTTTATTTAAAATATACATTTTAAGTGAAGTGAAGGAAATGCTTATTTTTTTTCTTTTTATTTTCTATTTATTTGTTAATTTAATATAATATATGTATGTATAAAAATATTTTCTTTTTATTTATCTATCAGCTGTTTCAATATTCTCAAACAGCTCTATAATAAGTAGCATCTTGTTCATAAGAATCCATAACTATGCCTTCTCTGTTATAAGCTCTATGATACAATTTATCTTGAGTAATTTGAGTTACCCAAAAATTGTTAATACAAGCTGCTTTAGCAAAAATATCAAGACTCTTATTAAGTTTGCAGTAAAATGGAATAGCACCATAAGCACCATCTCCAAGATAAACAGTTCCATCTTTCTCTACAACTTTATTACCTACCATAGGATATGTTCTCTTGAAAGTGTGAACATGATTTTCATAAACAGTAGCCATTCTATAAGTATCGAAATTAGGTACCCAATGGAATAATGCTCTAACTGTAGAAGGAGAGCTTTCTTCGTCGATGCTACCACATGCGCTATTGAATAATTTACATTTTTATTAAAATTGTAGTTTGATATTAATTAATTTACCTATAAATTGGGACATGATAATTTGCAAATTTATATAGGCCAGTGCTGTTTTAGAGTACACTTACTATGTATTTTTCTTACCAGCCAGAGAAATCATGGAGATAACCAGAATCTAGACTGAGATAAACTGAGTTAGCAACTTCGTGGTGGAAAACTGTTCTTCTATTTATGATAGATGGAACTGTTTTAACAATGTTAAAGTCAGCATCTCTTTCATAATGTTAAGGGAAATATGTGAGGTAAGCAGGACCAACAGTATCAGTAAGAGTTACATTAACTAAAGGTAATTCGTTCAAACCAACATCGTGATTACCAACTGTCCAAACCATAGGGAGTAAATAACCTAATTTGTTAAACATTTATTCAAGTCCACCAAGATAGAAATCCCATGCATAGTAACAAGTGTTGAAGTTATCATCGTAAGCGATATCTCCTCCCATGAAGAAGATATCAGGTTAAAGTGTAGCAACAAGTTAGTTAAATTAACGAGCAGGTTCAGTATTACCAGCATCACCAGCGTTAATCATTGTAATATTAAGATTTGGGTCATTTTTATCTGGTAATGTTCTATAGAACTATTTATTTAGAAGTATAATTAATTTTTTTATGAATAAAAAAAAGCTAATTTTAATTTAGAAAGATCTCTTATTTTAATACACATTTGATTTAATTAATTATTATCTATATCATGATAAAGGTAATTTAATCAGAATGGTAATATCAAAGACTTTGCTGATGTAATAAAGTTAATTATTAGTCATCGAGAAAAATAAGATTTATATTATTATTTTTTAATTCTTACATGTGTAGCTTGGACTGTGTCATCTCCAGCATATTTAATTTATATAACATATTTTGTTTTAGGAGTTAAACCAGAAATCAAAGCTGAGTGTACATTTCTTTATCCTTTTGACTCAACATCTATTTTTATATTTATAATTTATGATTAAAAAAATCTAAATATGAATAATTTTGCATATTTTTATCATGAAAAATTGAAAATTAGATTGAAAAAAAAAATTTTTACAATCCAGCTCGAATAAAACTGATGATTATTGATTTCTTAATTAGGCTGTCTTATTATTGAGATAATATTCTTCAAGATCATAATAGACAGTGACATTGTTGATTGCTTTGTTTGTATGAATGTTGATAAAGACATCGTTAGCTGTATTTTCAGGGAGTGTTGCATACAAATGGCAAGGTGGTCCTGGAGGACAAGAATCATTCAATTAGAATATACGAGTGAACTAAGTGTTGATTTAGAAACCGAGAAGTTCGTTATAGTATCCTATGTTATCGTTATAGAATGCAAGACAAGTATTGTGGAAAAATGAAGGAACTAAAATGCAGTAAAGCAATTAAGCGATAATAGTCTTCTTAGAAGGTTTTTTTGAGTATGTAATAGTTTCTTGTCTTTAGGATTCGTTAACATATTAATGATAGTGCTCTTCAGTATGAGTATCTACGTAGTACTTAGCAGCATAAATTCCTATCATTAATAAAATAGATACAGAAGTCCAAATGACTTAGAAAGCACCAAGTACCAAAGGACAGATAGTCAAAAAGAAGTAGGTAGCTCCATAGAAAAAATCTGCTGTCTATTCATAACAATTTCTGTTAAACTTTATTGGGATATTTTAATCTCCATTATTGTAAAAAGCAACGTTATCGCTACTTGTTAGAAGTTATTATCCATAGATTTGATGAGTCGAATTTAAATTGATATTTTAGGAGCTTTGCATGTAGTTTGTCAATTCCATGTTACCAAAATTATTTCCATTAGCTTGCGCCCTTAAGAATCTGTACTAACTTGTTCCTTGTTTTTGGGCATCTTCCTCTTTGTGTCTCTTTAGGGTTCCTAATCTACGGAATATTAAGTTTAACACAAAGCATATGAATGCCAAAATAAAGGCTACGCTAGAGCCTGTCAACGCAAAATAGTCATGGTAATTAAGCCTTTTACCAGATAATATTGGCACCCAACGATAATTACTTCCCATATTATGTCAGAATATTGATAGTTTGTAATTATAAGCTAAATTTGTTTTAATGTTTGATCGGATTTATTCCAACTTCCTTGATCAAATTTCTGCTCTTTTTAATTTATTGTCTTTTGTTAATTAATTAATTATGTGATAAATCAGCTTTCTAATTTCTTAATGTTTTCTCAAAAGTTTTTAAAAAGTAAATAAGTACATTAGTTTTTTTGTGGAAAGCTCAAGCATCATACTCAATAAATATTTTTGGAAATAGTAAAAAATAAGTATATAGAGTCATTTATACATTTAATTTATTGTAATTTAATTATATCTAAGACAATATTCTTTTACAAAATTTGTAAAGCTTATATCTCCTAAATTAGCTCACCAGTTTAAGTTACCCAAATCATAAATAACCTTCTAAATTTGTTTATTTATTTTTCATTTCCCTATTGTTAAAATAAATAAGGAAAACATTAACAACAATTCTAACTTACTCAAATTTGATTATTTTCTTGATAAAAACACACTTAGATTCTTCAAGAAATATGAATATTTTACAATTACCATTAAATTCTATTATTTTTGTCTAAATGTTTTAATTACTCAACAAAGATAGAATAAATAAATCAATTAGTCAACATCTCAATTATTTTATTTTCATTTTTTATGATATTAAATTTAATTAAAATTTTACCTGTTTAATTATCAATTCACACAAAATAGAAAATTGATTTTAAAACAAAATCAAATAAATTATTATAAAATAAATATAAATTTTATAATAAACCTTGAAAATATAAAAAAATATTTATTTGAGTTTTATTAAATATTTTTAATCTATAAATGATAAAATTTAAAAGATAAGCTGTTAAGAATACATATTTGCTTTTTTACCAAAATAAATTTATTGATGAAAAATCTTAAAATAATTAAAACTTGAAGTTGGAACTAATTTCTCTTTAATTTTAATAAAAAAAAATGATTCATTTTTTTTCTTTTATTTTGATATTAAAAACTGTTTATAAAATATATGTTTTGATTTACACATACATTTCTTTTATGAATATAGTTTAGTATTTAATATTTTTTACATTCTATAAGATAAAATTTAACTGAGTCAAAATATCAAGATAAGTTCATCCTTTGAATATGATTGAAAAATAATTTCTCTATCAGTAAACAGATTTGTATTTTCTTATACATTAGATTTAGAAATAAAATCTATATTTATTTAATACTGTTAATTGTTATTTAGTATTTTAAAAAAATTATCTAATCCATAATCTTAACTTTATATAAAATTATAGTATTTATCTATTTCTAAACTGTTTGAGTATAAGATTTGATCATTTTAAGATATCTAAAAGTTAATTAGAGAAAACTCTTTTTAATATTTTAATGGCAATATCATACTAAAATTTACTTCTTGGAGAGTATTACTTTTTATTTGAAAATTTATATTTTTAGACATTTTTATTTTTTTCTGTCTATTTTTGTAATTTTTTCTTACAACACCTATTGATAAATACTCAATTTCAGTAGAAAATTATTAAGTTGTATAAATTATGCTATCAGAGTTGCCTGTTTCCTCAAAAATACAAATTTCATTATTTAGAACTTCGCATAAATTTAGAGAGTGATGAAGATTCTAAAATTTTTTAATATTTTTTTTCGTTGTAGCCACTACCAAGTATTCTTAATTTAAGTAATTCTTCAATAAATCAAATAAATATTTCTTAGAGTTTTCACATTAAAAGCTTTCTTTTAAAGTTACATAGTTATTAATATAAATATCAAAAATAAAATATTTTACTATTTAAATCTATAGAAATCACAGGAACATTGAATAAATCTAATATGCAAATATCTACTGGATAAGATAAATCTTAAGAAAAACCACCTAGCTTTTTTATCCATGCTTTTTCTAGAATGTTAAAATAAACCGAATCCTTTGAAATTTTTGAAGCATAAGACTACTTTTGCTTAACGTCATAAAGAAATCTATCATCTACTTATATGATAGCTTCTTAGCCTTATTAATACATTTTCAAATTATATTAACCTGAAAAAGAAAGATGGGAATCTTCTTATTTGTTTTAAAAAATATTATAAATAAGTTATTCATTTTTAGATATAATGGCAGCTTTTATAATGCTTATGAGATAGCAATTTCCTATATTTACAGATTAATTTATATGATTACAAATAATTTGTTGAGGGAAGAGCTTAATTTTTTAAATTTGAATATTCAATATCTCTGATATTCTATAAAGCTTAAATGTAGGATTTTTTTTAATTACTTAATTATAATTAATTTAATTATCTTCAAAAGCAAAATAAGTTGATAAGAACTCCTACTTTAAATTAAATTTTGAGATGTCTAACTTTTTTTGAAGAATTTAGCTGTTATCTAAAACAATTTTTTCATTTAGGCAATAATTAATGAAAGCTTCTGAATATGCTTAGATTTAAAATTTAATTAAATATTTTACTAAATAATTTCCTTTGTTTATACATATATCATAAATATTTTATCCTCTATAGTCTCTGAGAAAAAATATTCTATCATCAATATTTTAGCATTATTTCAAAGCTAAAAAGTATTCAATAACTGAAAATTTAGATAGTTCAAATGCAAGATGTAAACTATTTTAGTATTTGCTCTAGTCAAAGTGGTTTATCCCTTGAATTATAGAATAGTTTCGTATTTAAAAGTAAAATTAAAGATTAATAATATCCTCATCTTTTATAGCTTAATATATGTTAATTTAATCAGAAATCCTAATACGCTGTTCAAATACTTATTCTATTAATTGCTAATTTTCGTTCTCAAAAATAAAAGAACTCTATGAATTTTTTAAAGATGTTCCTAAAGATTTATTTCCCATTTTAATTTTTAAAAAGTAAAAATAAACTTTAGATTTTTTACAAAATAAAAATCAAAAATGTGTAAAAAAAAATAATAAATAATAACAAAAAAATTTGTTTAATAGATAAATTTATTTATTTTTATAAACATAAATTCTACAATAGTTACCAATATTTTAATCTATTTATATAATATACACAAACAAATAATTTGAAAATTGATTTTGTTGTGGCGTGAAAACATTTTATTTATTTAGTTATTTACTTACATTTTCAATATTAGTTTAGTAAATTGCTTATATATTTTAATATAAGCCAATAATTTTAACATATTTATTTTTTTATTTATTTATTTAACTAATTTATTTCTTTTTGATTAGTATTATTATTAATTTAATTTATTTTTTTTCTCCTTTAATTTAATTTAAGCTTATTAATTATTTTTATTTATTTACTTATTCATTCTCTCACATTTTATTGATCTCAAAGGATACGAGAATATCTTTTTTGGATGGACTATTAATGTACTGATCCATTTGGAGAAGGTGATCTGTTAGGAGAGGATGAATCTAAGCAATGTGCAACACCAGATGGTTTCCAAACTGGTGGATGCAAGTAACTTCTTATTATTTCAACTGTTTTTTGATCAGAATAATCCCTCAATTCTCTTGGTTTAAGATTTAATTTAGGACGCATTCCTTTCCATAATATTAGTTCGTGTTTTTTCAAAAGAATTTCTCTATTTTTCTTATTTGATCTTTTTATATTTGGTGAGACTGACTCATTTAAAGGTGGAAGCAAAGTAGCGTTACTTCCACTTTTTCCTCTTCTTAGTCGAACTCTTTCTGACGATATTGTATTTTAACTATTTGGGTGAGTTTAAGTAGATCTAGATTCAGTATCTCTCTTTTACTGTACACTAATGCTTCTTTTTTGTGAGCTTAATCCATTACTGCTTTGTTACTAATCAGTTTCATCATAGCCTAAATCATATGCAGTTTAATAATTCAAATCTGCTTAATGTCCTTAATCTTTTTTTCCAGGATAACTTCTCATGCTTTAGATATCAAATGAGTTATTATGACTCTTTATATGGGGTAGCTTCGTTGAAAAATCTGAAACAGATGGAGGTGTCTGTTATGAATGGTAGCCAATATTAGACCCACTACCATGAGGGTTTGATGTAGGAACAGTTTTGCTTTCTTCAGTGAGAACAGGTGTATGAGGATTAAATTATCTCTTAGTCATAGAACCTTGGTAAATTCCTCTAGGTGTAGAATTTTCTTCTGAAATACTTTTGAAAGATCTGTACTAACTTTATCCATTTGATCCAGGGCCATTTTATTTAAATATATTATTTACAAAAGTTCCCTTTTTAATACCTTCGCCAGGAATATAGAGTTCACCTTCACCACATTGAATACCTCTCTCCCATTCGCTTTTAAATTTTAATTGTATAAATTATTGTCACCGAAAAAAAAAAATGATATACCCTTTATAATATGAAGTGTCTGTCCAATACATTTCTCCATATCCATGTCTTAAATCTTCAAAATACTCACCTTTGTAAATATTTCCTGATGCCCATGTAAACACACCATAACCACATCTTTTATCGTTTATATACTCACCTTCGTATGTGTCAGTTATTTTGGCGTCTTTCTTTTTTCTCCAAATACCTAATTTATTTATTTATTAGAATAAAAAAAATTCTTTGATTTTATTTATTTATTTACCCTATCCATGTCTGAGTCCATTTTTGAAATAGCCTTTGTAGTGAGCTCCATCTTTCCAAAAATACTCACCATATCCTTCTGGACGACCATTAGCATATTACCCAATATAAATATCTCCATTTGAGAATCTTTCCTAGCCCTTACCATGCTTAAGACAGCATTTGAAATCTCCTTCATAAACATCGCCTTTTTGAAAATGAATGAATAAATATCAATTTTATTAACTTTCTTAAATTTTTACCATTTATCCACTTGTGCACACCTTTTCCATCTGCCTTACCGAATTTCCATTCTCCTGTATAACTATCACCTCTGACTCCCATCCATTAGCCACTGCCATGCTTCATACCATTCACCCACTCTCCATCATAAATTTCTCCATTATACCAAATATAAGTGCCAAAGCCTTCAGGCTTTCCATTTACAAAATAACCTTCATATGCATTTCCATTAGGATAAAGCTCAAATCCTCTTCCAAATTTAGCATCATTCTACCAATCCCCTTCATAAAGTCTTCCAGAAAAATACATCATCAACCCTATATGATAAAAAAATGAAAAAAATAAATTAAAATTATTATAATATTTTAAAAAAATCAATTTATTTACCTTTGCCTGTTCTAGAACTATTTTATACTTCACCATAATAAATACATTATTTATAGCGCTTTAATCTGAGATATTAACTCTTATTTAGCTCCTCCATATTTAATATTTCAGTAGAATGTACCTTGTGATTTTAAAAATATTCTAATAGCTATTAAGGATCCATTGGTTAAGTAAGATCTTATCTTATTTTTTCTGCTTTATTAATACGCATTTGAAGGTAATCTTAATAAGAACTTTGAGGATTAGTTTAGTCTCCATCCATTTCTCCTAGTTTTCTTAACTTTTCATTCAAATTATTAATCATTTCCAAATTATCTTATATGTGCCTAATTTAAGAAGAGTCTTTTTTAGAAATTTGAGAGTCTTTCATGCTTTCGTTTTTAATTTCACTCCCATTTCTTTAACGTTAAATTGATTCACTCCTCTTTTTTAAAGGAGATTTACTTGTATTTGGGCTTCCTGCAATCTAATTGCTCGAGCTTATGCTATTGAGCTAACTTCCATTTTCCAATTCCTATTGCATCGCTGTGTTTTACTAAGGAGATTGCTATACTAAATTTTTTAAAAAATTTAATTTTGATTAATCAAACTTGCTAATTTCATATTTTAAAACAATAATTTGTTGTATTGCTTTTATCAATTAATATTTAATTTTTTATACTTTTTGAACTACTGTCATCGATTTTTTTATGTATTGATATTCTCTTTTAGCCGCTTGGTGGCCTTTTCTTGCTATGACTGTCACTTTTTGGTGTTTTAGATTATTCTATTTATTATGCCCTTATTTTGTAAAAAAAACATATTTTTACAATCATAAATATTTTTTTCAAAAATATTACTCTAATTTGGGTGATTTTACAGGAGATTCAACCTATTTTTAATGAGAATCATTTACAACTTATGATTAAGTTGAAGCTATATCATCTCCATTTAATTATTTTTATGACTCCTGTGCTGATAAATTATATTAATCAGCCATTTCAAAGATATTTATATTAAATATTCAACTTTTTTTTTCTAAATTATTTTTAATAATGAGCTTACTTGCAAAAATATAGCTTTTCCTCTTTGTAAAATTAATATTGATAAACTTTATTTGTTAATTTTTGATAAATAGAAATATTATTAATTTCCTTTGTTTATTTTTTGTTAAATAAGAATATTTGTTAATTAATAATTTAGCTTGATGATAATTTAATGGTATTGATTGCCATTTTCTTATCTATACCCATGTATTATTCTAAATTAGTATTCAAAAAATTTTTTTTCACTGCTTTATTTACCAATGAATTAATCATTATTTTATGATTATCTAATTTTTGGTTTTTTTGCATCAATAATTAGTTATTTCCATTCACAAATTTGAAAATAATAAATAAAAGTTATTTTCCTTATCAAAATTATATTAATATTTTACCATTAAATAGAATTGTATTTTAAAAATAAGCTTTGAATGTAAATAAGAGATATAAAATTAAGGTTAATTTAGCATCTATTTCTACTTCAAATAAAAATAAAATTAATATTTCGTTCTAAAAATTAATTAAATAGGAGATAAATTAGCCTTAGTTCTAAGAATTTTATGACTTTAATCTAAATTCTAAGTTACTATTCAAAATATTTGTTTTTTAAAACCTTATCAAATTATCTAATTGATTACAATTAATTAAAATATTTAAATATAATCTGTATATTAATTGAACTTAAAATTTTAAAAATAGACATAAATGTGTAGATGATTAACTTTTTAAAGAGGAATTAAATCAATTTTAAAGTAATTCAGCTATTATTCTATATTAGAATTTGTCTTTTATGATTAAATAAAGTTAAATTTTTTTTTATATTTTTTGATTAATAATAAATATCTAAGATTTGTTGTGATAAAAAATCTATTAAATATCCTCATTAAACCAATAAATGTATTGAGAAATAAGTAAATAAATGGTCATTATAAGTATTTCCATTTATTTTGGATTTAAACTTATTTTACCTCTTTTAAAATTTTAAGATGTTTTAGATTATCTAAATATAAAAATATAATTTATCACTTTAGCAATTTTTAATTTAAAAGAAATAATATTAAATTATTAATAAAATTAATTTTAATTTTAACTTATCTTTCAAAAAAAAATAAATTTTAAAATCACTACATACTTTGGAGAAAGTTATTAAACTTATATAAATAACTAAAAAGTTTATTTAAGTAAGAAACTATAAAATTATTAAGATAATAGTTGATTGAGTTAATTTACACTTAGCTCATATCTAACTAACTTCAAAATTTTAATTTTATTTTTTTGTGATAAATAAACAATAAATGAGAAGTACAAATATTAAATTAGTTCAGCAAAATCTCATAAAGAATCGATTTGATATTTCATAAATTGAAGCTATAAAAATAAAAATATGATCAATTACTTTATATATTTATTAACTGAAATCACTTTTCAAATAAAAAAATTCATTTTAAATTATTAAATGCTATTGAGAAAATTATTGAACTTAAATAAATAAAAAGTAAATTTAAATAGGAAATAATCAATTTAAGATAAAAAGTAATTGAATTTATTTACACTTTGTTAATTACTAACTAAAAAAAAAAATTTGATTTTATACTGGAAATTATTATTTTGATATTTTTTATTGAAATTAAATAAAATTCTATTTAATATTTAAAATATCTTAATAACAACAACTTTTCATGCAATAATTAATTATTATAAAAATAATAATTTACAAAGAGTTTTGAAAAATAGCTTTAATTAAATCAAAGTTATATATAAATAACAATAAAAAAATAAAAACTAATTTGTTAAACTATTAAAATTTGTTAAATTAGTTAAGCTGATAAGTGTTACTTTAGATTTTAATCTTTAATAGGTAGATTATAAACAAAATGGTCTTTGATAATTAGTCAACAGTTGCTTTAGTAACATGTGATAAAGGAGGTTAGCATTAAGGGGAGTACATTTAATTTGTATGTTTGAATCCTCTATGCAGAAACGAATGCCTTATATGTTGTGTTTGCAAAGTTATAAAGCATAAAGATCATCAAGTCTTCCCCCTTAAAACGCTTTTTGATGATTTAGAGTTTAAGTCAAAAAAACTTGAAAGAAAAACAGAACTCACTGTTCTCAGCGAAATTGAGCGCGCTTAAGCCTTAGCATTGGAAGGTATTCAGAGTTTGAGTAGATATGCTTAGATTAAATTTTAAAAAATGGAAGATAAAATGAAAAATTTCTTTTAAAATTTGAGGAATGAAACAAGACAGCATTTCAACAGTCGACCTATATGGACAAATGAAGTTGAAAGATTGAGATTTGAAAGTGATAAAGATCATCTTGAAGTAAAGATCTAAGAAGTTTTGGATAATATATAAATAGGAGAAGGAAAGATACAAAAGATTAATGAAGAATTTTTTGGTTCTAAAAGTACAGAACCAATAGATTATTTTGTGTAGAGCTATCTAGAGACTCTAAAAAATATACATATAGCAATAAGCACATAGTATTCTAAGCTTTATAATCCTTAATCCTAACCATAAAATTCTAGAAAGGACTATTTCTAAAATCCTGTTGCAATGTCTTAGATTTAACTTATGAACTTGTAGCAATAAATAGTTAATAGCAAAGCTTAATCTCTTAAAAATGGTGAAACATCCAGCAACCGTAATTATGAAACTGCTTCATTTTCAAGCAAGAATATCTAGCAGTAAACATCAACAAGCAACGCCTCTTAAAGTAACTATAATACTGAAGTTAAATAAGGTTAAGCCTTACCTCGAAATCCTACCTTTTCTGGTTTTAATTAGTATGCAGATTTTTCATAAGCATAAAATGAAAATACAAGCGTAAAATCAAAAAGTATTGGAGGTTTTGTAAATAAATAGTAGTAGCAATAGTATATAAAAGAAGTCAACTAAGATGCTTCCCCTGATAGAATGTCTTAAAATCCAATTTTGATGCAATAGTCAACAGTATCACAAACAATACCAAACTTATCATAATTATAGTCAATATAATTTGATTTGTAAAAGCAAATTTTATAATAATAGGCATTATTATAATAGTTATAATAACAAACCCAAAATAACTAGTCTTTTTAATCTACTCCAATTCAGAATTTATTTTAACAGTAAATTTAGCAATCCTCTTAAAGTACAACCCCATTAGATGCTCGCAGAAATTGGTCATTACCAAAAACTTCTATTGAATCAGTAGCTTCTTAGGCGCTTTCCAGCTTTATGAGAACAGGATCACCTTCTCCTCCACAGAGACTAATGTATTACTCTAGCCTGTTTTAGCAGCATGTTCAAAATAGATAGATCATGTAATAAGGTATTGCTTCCACTGCTTTATAGAGATTTTCAAGCCAACCTAAAATAGCTATTACTCCAGCAAGCACAGGTATGAATAATAGTTAAGTCCATAGTGCAGGTGTAATCTAGCAGAATTAGCAAAATGACAGAAAGTCAAATTTTGGTGGTTAAATTAATATTTCTTAAAATCAATACTATGAATAAGATTTAGAAGCAGAAGACTTAGTTAACCAAAAGTTAAAAGAGCTACCAAAAAGCTAAGAAAGATAATTCCGTTTTAGATTCCATAAAGAATATAAGCACAAAAACATAGAATTGTATGATTAATTCAAGAAAGCAAAGGGATCCTCCGATAACTTTGAAACTCGTTTAGCTTTAATATCTCCATCTGTGGAAGTAAAGCCCGTGAGAGAGTATAGTTGGGCTATAAAAATAGTTAGTTGTAAGTCTGTAGCATATTCTAGTCCTTTAGCAATAGGAATTTGCTTGAAGCGTCACTCTGAAAACAACCAATTTTAATTTATAGGTGAAGATAAATAGTGTGGACCAGCTACAGGATCTCTTCGTTATACATAAAGCTTTAGCAGACTATCATATGCTTCTGGAGTAAATACTCCTTCTACTACTACTATATCTTAAAAGAGTGAATTAAGCACTCACGGATGTTACTTGTTAACTGCTGCAGGATTCATAAGAAATCATACTGATTCTAAATAAGATATGAAAAAAGTTTAGGTAAGATTTGATCAAGGTGATATACTAGTTTGTCACTTTAATCCTTTCAGAAAATACCTCAAAATAAAAAATAAGAACTCAGGCGAGTACTGTTTAATAAATATTGAACTAACTCCAGGGGATTAATTATTTCCCTGTGCCCGTATAAGTTATTGCCAAGATATAGTAGAGATAATAGATGACTTTGAGTGATTTTATTAGTTTATTTTTTAAATAAACAAATTTTACATTTTTATATAAAAACTGTTTACAAATATTGCTATGTATTTATGCTTTCTTTCTTTACACTTTTTGAAATAAAAGTTTCTAATATAATATGTTTTGTTAATTAAAATACCTATAACTTAAAATCAAAATTATTTTCAAAGAAAGCTCACTTCGTAAATTAAAAAATATAATATATATTAAAATTGAAAAATTTTAATAAAAGATTATTAAATTAATTTAAAAATATTTATTTATTCTCTCAAATGCAACATTCAATGCAATTTTATGTAAGAAAAATTTAAAAATATTCATTAATCTAAGTAAATTTGTTTCTTTATAGTTAAAGATTAATTAAAACTAAGTTAAATAGGTTATTAGAAGACCCACTCACTTCATTAATTTCAGATTTTATATTAAATGAAAATATTCAAAAACAACTTAAAAATTTAAATTTTAATGAATTTTATGAAAAAATAATATGTTGAGGAGCAAAATATAATAAATAACTGAGAGATGCTTAAAATAACTTCTTTCAAAATTAACTAAATGTAAGCAATTAAGCAAGTAGATTTTTTTCACTCTTTTATAAAATGTTTAATAAGATGATAAATATCATCTCTTTTATTTTGTAAGCTGGTAAACTTTTATTACCTCGATAAGAAAGAATAATTTATATTGGAAAGAAATAAAATTTCAATTTCTAAAATGAAATCAATGGCCAATAAAATTCAAATTTAACATAGTCTTACATTTCTAAATACCATAAAATTTATCCGTTTATAAAATATGCTGTTAGCAAAAGAAAATTAATAGATACAGAGTTATATATCTAATTTAGAAAAATTAATAATCTTATTAAAAGTCAATAGCAAAAAGTTTGAAATCAAAAGGAGAGTTTTAGGAGGAGTTTTTATTTATTAATTGATTTTTAAGCATATAAATGCAATAAAACCCTGACATTTTTTATGATAGATAGGCAATAGAAATGCCGAAATTTTAAGATTTACCTACAAACAATGCTTAAAATATCCATAAAATTGAAAACAATTAATAACCACAATAAAATAAAATCTAAAATCTGAATATTATTAGAGATTACAAAGATTATATCTTACAGCTTTCAGAACAAGAAATAGGAGAATTTTTAAAAAATGATTTGGAATTCTTGATAAATAATTTTTATCAAAACAATTTATATGAGGAAAGAAGAAATAGCTTGATTGTTATTGTTTACATTTTGTATTTCTTAAAAAGTATTGATACTGCTAATTAGATTATCAAGGAGCTTAGTTATTACTTAAATTAAGATGAAAATAATTTCTCTGGAGTGATTAACTTTCAAGATTTAAAATTGCTAATAAAAAATGATCAATAAATATGTGGAAGTCTTCTAAAATTTTTGTCGATTTACAAAATAGGATATTTAATGAAACCATTTATAAAAGATATGAAACTCAATCTTGAAAATGTTGATAAGCTAACTTCTTCTCTTTTAATATAAAATAACAATTTAGATGCAATAAATTACCTACTAAACTTTCAAAATGATGCACTAAACTAATAAGAACTTGATAAAACTAAAAATATTATATTTGGCATTCTAGAAAAGCGCTATGCTGAGTACAAATACTTTCAAAGCTCTTCAATTCTAAGGTAAATTTATTAGTTTTTCATTTTACAACAAAAATTAATTTTAAATTATTAATTACTGAGCGTATGCTTCCCTTAATTTAAAAGTAATCTATTTTTTTACTTTTATTCCCTTTTAATAATCAATAAAAATCATCACAAATCATATATAGTTTTTTAATTAAATTTTCTGCTTTTTGCCTTTAGTATTGGTAAGTAGATTAAAGAATAAAGTTATATTACCTTAAAAAATATCTACTAAAAACTAAATAGCTCATATAAATACTTTAAATTAATTTTTTATTTTTTTATCAAAAATAAACAATTAGAATATTTTATAATTTGTTGCTACTAATATTTTACTCGCATTTGAAAATTTAAAATATCCCAAACGATTTCTAACAAGATGCTATTAATACATCGCTTATTTTATTGTTATATTTCAATATTATTGATGAATTATATTCAGATAGTTTTAAATGCATTTTATATTACCAGATAAATCTCACATAATGCTTATCTAAAATTAAACTTTGTAAAGCTATTAACTTAAATAATCTTAAAGATATTTAGCAAACATAACTATGATATTTTAAATGGCTTAATAAATTTATTTCAAAACAATAACTAGAATTTTTTAATTTTACATTATTTTTTTTAATAAGTTCTTGTAACTTTTGGAAGTTATTAGTTCATAGGATTATTTTGATATAAGTAAAAATTTCGCACAATAAGTAGTGCTCATAAAAGAAAAAAATGAATAAAGTGAGCTCCAAAAAATAATGCATGTGCAAATATTAAAGCCTAGTTTTTTTCAAAAAATAAAAAATGATATTAGTAATTTAAAAATTAAAATTAGCTTATATAGGTATTTAAAGCCACTTATTTGTTTGAATTAGTGAGATCAAAAGCATTTAATTATTTAAAACTATATTTTTTGAATTTTAAAACGAGCGCAGAGTGAAAAGTGAATTCATCATTCTTTGCTGAATATATATTTTAAATTATTTTTTTTAATTTTAAAATTAATAAAGTATTATAAAATTTGTTTTAACCGTTAAACATAAACTCAAATCAAAGAATTGTCATTTCAAAATAATAAAATTAATTTAAAAAAATGATATTTATAATTATTATTAGCATTTAATTAAATTAAAAGAATGAATTTTTATTTTTAATTTTTCTTTAACTTATTTTTTTTAAAGTATAAGGTAGTTTTCTTTAATATCCATGTTTGAAGTTTTTTTCGAAAGTAATTTTGAAAATTTATGGCAAGGAATGTTAAAATATCTAAAAAATTATAGCTAGTTAGAATCAGGAACTATTTTCGTTTTGTAGAAGAAAACAATTTAAGATGCGATAAAATTTAGAAGACTTGATTTTATTGTTCAATCTCTTTTATTCTATCGCTAAGATACTGAAAAAATTCTTAATTAAGAGGATGTGTTTTTTAGTTTGATACCTATGATAAATGAAACAAAATATTTTAGTGATATAATTTGCATATTGAGTTAGTTTTATAAATAGATAAAATCTAGGAAACAATAAGAATATTTAATAGAAATATTTACTATGATGCTTAATAACAATTGTCCTATTATTAATAGTTAAAATATTTTATCAAATGGACATATTTTAACAAGTAGCGTTCATCAAATTGGTCATGCCTGTAGAAGTGCCCACACTTCTCCTAAATCTACTAAAAATATACACTTAAATTTATTAGAATCTTAAGTCTATAGTTAAGATTTGCAGAAATTTAATATCAATTTAAGTTATCTATTTTACACATTATCTCCAATTATAACTTGCACTATAATTTCAAAAATATTTTATATTTTAAGCTAAAGATTCAATTCTCCATTAAAGCTAAAGCTAAAATAAGTTGCTCTTGAGTATTTAAATTTATCGATTGCTTTCAGCCAAGAAGTAGAAGATTTGCGATAATGGAAAATGTTGTTATTTGACATTATTTATCCAGCAAGATTCACATTAATTTAAATAACTCTAAATTACAAGGACTTTTTTTCTCCTCTTTTAAGCCTAAATAATATAAAAAATACCTTATTTACTAAATGGAAATCCGAATATAATTTTTCATACAATATTTTAGCCTGTTCATCTTAAATGAATCTATTTTAGGAATTAATTTAGCTTTAAAATGGTAAAATTAGGGATTTACCTCCTTTTGTTCCAGCAGAAAATATCTCAGATTTGCAAGGCAAAGCCTTCTAGAACTTTTAGATTATGCATTCACAACCTATAATTGATGAAAATAATCAGCGAAATGCTATATTTAATAATGAAAACTTTTAAAAAATGAGTAAAGAATTTAATTAATTTAATTTTTTCCTTTTAATAACCAAATTCGCATTTACTTACAGATTACTTTTACATGCATTTAATTCAAATTATCAAGTTTCACTTAATAAAATTTAAACGAATTGAAGAGTAGAAAGTAATTAATTATAAATTAGTCAAATTTCTGCTCTTCATATAGAAGATTACATTTATATATAATTAGATAATATAACTATGTGAATAATTGAATATTGTTAAGTGGTAAGGTTATTGAATAATAAATTTTTAAATTAAATTTACTAATAAAATTTAACAAGGTAAAGTTAGTTAGTACTGATTGTATATTTTATTTTATAAATAGATGAATAAAAGAGAGTAATGGTGTAACAAGATTTTTAAATAGCTTTTTCACAAGCAGAAGACTAAGACACTGAAAGATAAAAAGAATTGTAAATAAAACAAAGACTTGTTGGACACTCGCAATTTCAAGCTCTTTAAAAAAAGCCGCGTTATCCAAATTTAAGTAAAATGCTGTATTTCTTACAAGAAGGAATAACACTTGTAAAAGAAAGTCATATAAAAAATGATTATTATTTTTACTAATAAGTTGTCATATAAAGATCAGTTATGATGAGAAATATTTTGGAGCTAATATTTTTTATTATTTTATTTTTGTTATGCTTTATTTATTCGCTAGACTTCATTAATTAGTATATTAATTTCTAGAAGATCTCCAGCGCATACTTACAATTATATTTTTAAAATATTCCTCCAGATCAATATATTTAATCTTGGTCTTAAATTTGCAGCCAATTTTTAACTAATCTATAAATAAAACAAGTTAGCGTACCAATAAACTCATTACCTAATAAATAAAGCTATTTTGATTTCTGTGTATAGCATGTCTAGTACTAAAGCTGTGGTGTATAATAAATTTATGACTTATTTATAAATGATTGCTAATATTTAGAAAAATTGTTTGTGGCTATGAATGAATTGAGCGTCACTCCAAAAGTTTTTTTTGGACTGTTTACATCGTATGTCTTACATATAATTTAATTACTTTGGTATCAGATTTTGATTAAAAAAAGGAGATACGTATTTGGATTTTTTGAAATTGTAGATTTAGTCATCACAATATTGGCTTGTTTAATTGTGTGGCATATGGATTCTAACTTAAATCCTTCTGTTTACATATCAAAATAATAAAACTAATATGATCTGATTAGCAATTGTGAGACATTTAAGAATTTACTGATGTTTTTCTTTTTAGTTTTATGGGTAAGACTTTTTCGTTATGTAAGGAAAACCTCAAAATTTGGAAAAATAATTAAAATATTTGAACTAGTCGTAAGGGACATGTTTTGGTTTTTGATAATAATACTTCTAGTGGTTGCAGCATCTTCCATGTTTTTTTATATTGGATTTGGCTATGCTTATTCGGAATATAATAGCTTTGCTGAGGCTTACTTGTAACTATTTTCCTCCATTTTTTCAGGTTTTTCTCTAAATGGTAAAAGAATGGACACTCAACTTTACTTGATCATCTTCTTGATAATTTTTAATATATTTGTAATAAATATATTAATTTCTGTCCTATCAAATAATTACAAGCGTGTTTCTGAGCAAGCAAATATGGAATACTCGCTAATATTGTATGAGGACTACATTAAATTAAAAAAAAATGATATTTACGGTTCTACTTTTTACTTTCCACCTCCTCTTAATGTGATAAATTTTATATTCACTCCTTTGATTTACTTTTTTCCAAAATATTCGATTCTAATTAATAAAATTAGCTTTCAAATATCATACACTGTTCTAATGATTGGCTTTATTGCACTTTTTACTTGTTTGTAAGCTTTGCTGATAATACCATCTTATATAATAACTTTTTTCCTAATCATTTTTAACATCAACAACTCTTTTACACTAAGAAGTTTACATAGAATTTTCCTATCTATTCTATGGCTTGCTTTAGGTATTCCTATCCTCTTAATTTAAATATTTTTCAATGATTTTCCTTTGTTTGTGAAATCTTGTTTCTTTGCTCTTCATAAGAAAAAAATATAAAAAATCTTTGAAATAGACTAGTATGAAAAAGTGAATATCTAATTTTTAAGGAATATTTTGAAAAAAATTCGCTAGAAGAGTAAAAAGAAGGCATTGCTTTCTCTTTCTTGCTATAACGCTTCTGTTTTCACTCATGTTCCTTGCCAATCTAATTTCCAAAGTTTAGCATCTCATTCGCCAAGTTTTGCTGGAAATACAAATTTTATTTGGAATATCAATAATAATTAGCATGTTTTGAATAATTAAAACACTAAATAGCTTAACAAGTTTGATACAAATAGTTCATAAACATATTTTATAGAAAATTAAAATAATGCTTAATAAGAAAAAATAGAATAATTGCTTTAAAATGGGATTTTTTTACAAAATAATTAAGCTATTGTAAAAAATTTTCCAAAATACCCATAAAATAAAATAATGTAGTAAGAGTAATCAATATCACCTTCCTATCAAATTTAGTAAACAAATTAAGGGAACGAGAATCAAATTATAGACTTGTCTTATAAAATTAAAGTTTCCCCACCTCCCATTTTAGATTAAAATAGTAAGATAGTTGATTCAGTTACGACTACAATAGATGACACTTTAAACACTTTAAAAATATTAGGATAAAACGATTAATCAAATAAGCAAGAAGATGCTAATTAGGGGTTAAATTGCTAGAATAACCAGATTACGAGCAAGAACACAAAACAGAATCAACAATAGCCAACTTTATCTTAATTTAACAACTATTCTAAAGCAAAAAAAATCCCTCCAAAATCTTAAAATTAAGAAAACTAAATTTTTTCCTAAAATTCCAATGCTAATAATCTTAATAATTAAAATATCAAAAACGATAGAGCATACCCAATACTTTTCATAGATACTACTTAAGAAGAAAATTAAGCAAATATTTAAGGGTTTGATGATGAAAGTTTTTTTGAGCCTAAAAGGAGCAATTCTTAGTAAAACAGCTAAATTAATCCTGATATCTTGACAACCAAAAAAGTGACAGAAATGTATTACCAAGAAGTCATTGAGCAATAAAAGTAAAAAAATATTTTGTCTACAGCTGGGCAAAAGAAAGGAGAGCCTTTACAAGAAATTGCTATGCTCTAATCATAAATAAGCTAATTTCTATAAACAGAAGAAATTTAGAGTTCTGGATTATGGTTAGAACTCTTCTTGAAGCGTACTTCTTATCAAGCAAATAATTTAAAGTATTCAATGTTATTGTAATACTTACTAGATGCTAAAAAATCGACTTGCTTTATTTAGGCAAAAAGTAAAAATGTCAAAAAATAGCTTGAAAAACAATCTGAATTGATTTCACTGGTTGATGTACAGATTGGAAAACGAGTGATTTCCAAATTTTTATAATGCAATTAATTTTTAACCTAAAAATGAAAGAGAAAAAAGAAAAAGAATGAATAAATGAACGAGTGAAGAAATAAAACAATGCATCATTAATGGCATAAATTCGTAATGGATAAATAAAAAATCAATAACAATAATTTATTAATATATCTATAAATAAATAAAATGAAAGTAATAAATATAAATGTTTACAATTTTTTTTTAGTGAATTATGTATATAAGCTAAATGCAATTTAAATTTTAGTAATAATAAGTTTTTATAATATAGTAATAAAATTTAATATTTAAAAGCCATTTAAAATATTTAATAAAAAAAATAGACATATGATTTATTTATGTAATCTGTTTGACATCTTTTAGAAATTTTATTAGAAGTTAAAGACCTTATTTAATTAAAAATTCAAATTACTAAGAGCTCAATTATCCTTAATTTTATTACCTATAAATTAATTAATTATCTTTATTGCAAGTTTTCCCATCTTATCCCACCCTTTGCATTATTTTTGCAAAGTGATTGAAGAATTAACAAATTATTATCTAACTAAAAACCCATTAAATTGAAAATAAATTAGCAATTCTTTCAAGAATATAAAAGAATTTATTTACTAACCTAGGTAATTGCCTGCTTTAAAAATTTATATACTTAAATCTTAAATCTTAAATTATATTCTACTGATTGACTATAAAAAAAAAAACATTTTTCATAAACTTTTTAAATTAATATCGTAATTTTTAATTTGATAAAAATACAAAAAAGGCAAGTATTTTAGTACTATTTTACTGCATAAAAGAAAATATTCAAATATGCCTTAAATGGAATACATAAGTTCAATTTGTAATTTTTTGCTCAAAAATTAGAATACCCACATAATAAAAATGTAAAATGTAATTTGTTTAATATTGTCAGTACTAAATTTTTTACCCATTAATTACAAAAATATTACACATCTAAAAACATATTTGCACTTGAATTTCAAGAGCAAACAAAATTTTAGGTATTTAATTCAAGAGTTTTAAAATTTTTTAGATTGCTATTTATAAGTTATTTATTATCAATTAGTAATAATTTAAGGCAAGTCTATTTAATGCATCTCCATGTTTATTTTTTACAATTAAGCTTTTATTATATTTTTTTAGCTTCAGTAATAACACCCTTTCTTGAAAAATTGTTATGTTTTGAGATCTAAAATAATACCAAAAATCAGATCAGTTAATTTTATTTGTTAAGAATTAGAAATTAAATTGATAATAATTATATTCTAGCTATTAATTATTCGATTTTTTATTATATAATATTTTTTACAAATTAAGATGTATTTTAAAAGTATATAACCAATTACAGTAACCTTATGATTAAATAAATTATATTCACATTTTTAGATCAAACGCCAAATTATTTTACATTCGCGTCATACTTAAATCAGAATTTTGTTGTTGTTAGTATCCCAATCCTTTACTATTTTTAATTATTTTATCGAATTATTAACAAGCTCTTCGGTAAGTAATAAGTAAGAAATTCGATCTTTGTTATTTTATATTTACCCTGCCCCATGGTCTAAATGTATTTATTATTAATAATAGGGGATATTACAGAGATTACTTTAAATTAATTAAACTGTTTGAAAATAGAATCCAATAATTGAAATTGTGAATAGTAAATAGTAAATTTTAATTATCATTTATGTGCTTAATATTTTAAAAATATAAATACCATGAATCTATAGTTAATTTTTGTTTATAATTTTATAAATCTAAATAACAAATAACACCAATTAAAACAAAAAGAAAAACAAGCACATAGGCAAAATTTACAGACTTAGAACTTAAAACTAACTCAGAAATCGTATTTTGCTGACCTTGATTCTTAAGAAGTTAATTCCCACTACTACCTAAGTAAAATTGCACATTGCTTTTAAATATTTTTCAATCTCTTAAAAAGTAGAAGATTTTTATCACTACTTAAATAAAATACTTTAAAATTCTTCACTCATTCTTTTTAAGATTAATTTTATTTAAATAACTCACTCACTCATAATTTTATTTAAATTATAATAATAAATTTCTAACTTTTATATTTAAATAATTATAGGTGCTTTAACATTATTTACAGATCAATAAAATTTTAAATAATTCTCATATTTCCTGTAAAAAAATTGAATGGATTTTTACTCAAGTTATTATACTATTCCCCGTGATGATTCTATGAGCAGCTCCCTCCCCGAAAATGAAATGAGAACACCTTCCAACAAATAAAATCATCAGCTAGATTTGCTAGACTGTTAGTGTCACTAGAATCCCACAGAAATCTAGATTGTTTATTCCTTAGAAAAAGAGGGTAAACACGAGTAAAATAAGAATGGGTTTTTTGCCCAAAATAACAAAATAATGCTCAATCAAAATTACATATCTTGTAACTATTAAGATTTACAGATCAATGAAACCTAAGAAAAGGTATTAATTTATGACGCTTTGAATGGCTTTAAATCTAATTCGATTATTTCTAACAAGTTAGCTTCTTCTACCATATCATCTTATTAATATGATGACACCATCAATAATAACATTGTAAAAAAATCATAACTAAAATCTAAAAACGAACCCATGAATAATTAAAAATAACAATTTCCCCTTAATAATGCTAGCGCTAAGTTAAATTTCTAGTTTTCATCAATATAGAACGAATAAAACCAAAGTGATAGAGGTTTTTAGCAAATAAACTAAAATAATCTTCTTCAGCTTAATTATTAAGACAGTTAGATTTAAAAAACCGATTCTAGTAGTCATATATTTAATTTGATGAATGAATGTAAGACATATAACTAAAGTTAATAGATTAATTAATTTGAACAAAGAAGGATTTCTGCTAGCTAAACTTCTCAAATCCACTAGGATGCTAATAATTTCCAGAATTAAACTATATAATAATAAAACCTTCAGATTGGAATAAAAATTGAGCAGCTTTAAAATTCTTCAAATCTGAGTATTACATAAAACTAAAGCTACAGCGAGAATGAAAAAGTCTTATTTTCATTAAAAAATAATTAAAACTAGGATAAGGAAAATAAATATCAATAAAATTCTTAACCCAATTCCGAATCAAACAGCCACACTACGTTAAATTAAGATACTCATAGTTATTCTGAGTAATATTAACTATAATAATAAGTATAATCTTAATTAATTGAGAAATAGCAGGAGTAGCTATCTTTACGCGACTTCTCTTATGTGAACATCTATTAATATCAAAACAAGGAAGCAACTCTTCCAGTAGAAAACAAAATATTACTGGAAGGAAGTGTCATTGTTGATTTAAATGAATTCATTAACCCCTCAATTCAAGACTCTCTTTCTAAGACCATCAGTTAGTATTTCTATATTGATTAATTACAAAAATTTAAGAAATACATTGTTGCTAACCTTTAGTTAAAGTCCTAACCTGAAACAGAAATTTCAAAAGTAATTGCTACTTTAAATCAATGCAAAGAGAATGAGAAAGCAATAAACTTAATTGAATATCTGTAAAAATATACACAATTTCTAGAGCAAAGAAAATAACAACAATAATAAGAGTAAATGAAGATTACAAATTCTCTTCATTTAATAGACGACAGTGCTTTAAAATTAAATGAGAGTTAAATGCATACAGTAGAATCTCAAAAATTATATAATACTACTATCGACTCATTTTCCAGCACATAAAATATGCTAACCAGCGCATCTAATATATAACCTGTTTAAAACTCTAAATAAGGCACTATAAACTTCTGCGATCCTTATTCTTCTGTTTAAAGGACCAATTTTAATTTAAGTTAAGCAAACAAAATACTTAAATAATTCGAAAAATATTGTTATACTTTTCGTATTATTCGTAAAAGCCCTGCTTAAATAGAATCCCACCAAGTAGGAGTTTCCAACTCATTTATTGAAATGATTGGATGCGATGTCAGCAACTCGATATCCTCCATTTTGAGAAATGATTCAAGCAGTATGCTTCCATTTGACTATGCTGGTTATAGTGCTTCTGATCAGTCTATTGACTAAATTTATGAAATTATTACTCCATTTAAAGAAAAGTAAAAGCACTACAACAGAAAATAAAGTCTAAAGTATGGAGAAATAAAGCACTCATGTGGTAAAAATATAAAAGTCAAAATTTAGCAGAAGGTTTTTTTGCTTAGTACTTATTAATCTTTTGATTAGAAATAGCAAAGTATTAATAATTAAATATTCTGCGAAGAAAATATAGGAGACTACTTAGAGATTAAATTATACACTCCAGAGACTTTAGAAATATAGAAAATTTCTAAAAAAAGAACATCTTCAAGCAGGAAAGGCATAATCGCAGAAGAATAATGTCTTGAAATTGACTAAAACGAGAGCAAAAAGATTTACTCAAATTATGCTTAAAAATTGATTGATAAATATTACAGTGACGAAACACTCCTAAGTCCCGAACTAATTTTCAAGAAAAAATGGACAATTAAAAGTCACAGTAAGCGCTTGTGAAATAAAGAAAATATAATAAAAGACAAAACTGTTATTTAAATAAAAAAGTGAATCCATTAATAACAAAAAAATATTATAAAATAATTGTATATAAAATAAGAAAATTTAATAGGAACTATTATCCAAATTACTTATAAAATAGTATTAAAATATAAAAAAAAGATTACTTCAATACTTATCATAAATAAAAAATTAATAACTATAATAAATTAAATATAAGTACAAATCCATAATTTATTATATTTTTGTATTATGTTGAAATTCTATTCGTTACAAAAACTTTAGTTTAATTTGTGCTTTAAAATAAACAAAAAATACCCTTTTACCATATAATTAGCTGTCACTTCAATAATTGTTTGTGAAAATACACGCAGTACTTGTTTCCTTATTATAAATCAAGCATTCTTACTTATTTATTTGATTAAAATAAGAAAAAAAATTTTTTACCCATGATTTTTAATATGCATACTATTTTGTCTATATAATAAGTATCTTATCTTTTTAGAGGAGTAAGCAAATTTTTGGTCTCACCTATTTTTTAGAACAATAAAAGCTAAATTATTTTATTACATAAATGAATGTGATGCCTTGAATCAAAACTTAGAATTAATTCATGGTAAATTCACAATATTTTAAAATTTTTATTTAAAATTTATAAAAATCTACCTTTGTTTTTTATGAAGTAAAGTGTAATTAGAAAAATTCATCTATTTTATGGTCTTTCAAGAGAGAAAAGTATTGCAGGATGGCTGATTTTTCAAAATTGTGATAAGATTTTGATCATATAAAAAGAGAGGGGAATTGAAATTAAAAACTGTGTTGATTGATAATCATATAAATAAGAAAATGAATATAAAATTATTAGTTAAAGTGAAAAAAATTAAAGACCAGAGTAATGATTTAAAAAATCTCTTTCTGATTAATAATAACTCATAAAAAATAAGTTCGTAATAGCAAAGCTAGTTTATGATTAGATTAACTAATAAACAGACAAATAAATATCCTTTTAACCAGAATAGGATTTAAATTTTTTTTCTTCAAATTTAATCTATTTGTTTAGGTATTGATAGGATGAATAAGTGAATGAATGAGTGAGTGAGCGAATGGATTAGATATCAAAGAAAAGAATATCATATATTTAGACTAAATATAGAAAATTTCTTAAATTTGCTCATATTTGAAGGAGGCAGGCTGGCTGTGTTATAACAAACATAATAAAAATAAATAATTATTAAATAAATTTTAGTGAATAATTATAATCGCTTATCCAACATTATGATATATTTAAGTATTTTGTCTTACTGCTTACAAACGTTTAGCAAAATTTTTTTTGGATTCTTTTCAGAACAAAAATTTTGTATTTTTTGAAAATTTATAATCACATATTATACAAATCTTTTTAAATAAATGTCAAAAAATTAAGAATCCTCTGACTCAATTTATACTACTGTTTGTAATTGCTAATCACCTGGATACTTCAGTATTTTAGATATGAACATCCTAAAAAACTAACAACAACCTTACTTTTTTCCTGATAAAAGCTAAAGTGAGCTTTTTACATTTTATTGAATTAAAAATTAAAAAATTACATAAATACTAACAAAAAATTGCAATGAAAAATTTATAATAGCTTTGATATACAAAAATATTTTTCAAAGAATTCAGAAAATCTTTTATTTACAGAAGGACAGTTCATAAGATGAGAAATATTTTTCAATTACAATTTAAAATGTTTACACTTGAAGATTTTTTAAATATATTTGAAATAAATTTGATATTAAAGGTAATGTTTTCTTAAATATTACAATTTTTTCTTGAGAAAGCATTTAATTTAATAAAATATGTAAAGCTAAATGCAAAATGAATAAATCAAATATTTTTGGAAAAAAATTTTATTCATGTTGTTTGATATCTACAAATAATTAGCTGAAAGAATCAATAATAAATAATTACTCATTTTGATATAATGTAGTTAAAATATAAGGATTTACAAGATTTAGTTAGTTGGATTTTTTTTTTATCTATTTTCTCAAATATTGCACAAGATTACTATTTACAGCTTATTGAACTAAAATATTAGACTATGCAAATATGCTGTCAAATATATAAATGAGCCAGCTACTATCCATATCAAAAGTAAAATATTTCCAAGATGATATAAACTTAATTTTAGCATTTTGGTAATAGTTAGTCTCTTTGTATACCAAGGATACAAAAATTATTCACTATTATATTTATTTATAAATTATCTTACCCCCTTTGTTTATTTAAAAAAATTTTTTCTTTTTTGAAAATTTACAAAAAAAGCTAGAGCTTTTAAATATTTTATAACAAAACGAAAGGATCAACGCTCAAATAAGATCATTTTTAGTAGATTTATTGAAACTTGTAGAATGAGCTTTAAAAGTCTTTGGCATTATTAAATTTTTCATGATATATTGGAATTTGTGTAAGCAATTTATGAAGGCTGTTTTGAACAAAACTTGAAAATTAGTTATTCTTACAATGAATAAAAAAGTTAAGTATAAATTGATCGTGTGCAGCTCTTATGGTATAAAAAACATTAATAATATTTTTGAATATGGATATTGAATGAATGGATGCGTATTTTTATTTGAGGATAATTATTTAGTTTAAGTTAATAAAATTTTTATTGATGGCTATACAACCAGGCTTATTGGACATGCATGCCTTAAAATGTTTGAGTAATTAAATCACGTTCTAGCACAATATGTAAAAAATTCAAATTTTAAAATTGATATCTCGGTTTATAAATCATTAGAGAATTCATATCTTTGCTAACTTAATTTAATGATTAATAATATCATATTTTATATTTTAATGAATAGTGTTTGTTACTTTTAAACTGATGGTAAAAAAGGTTCGACTATTATTTGACTTAATTCAAAATAACAAAGCCAATTATTATTAATATCTTTATATTTATATTATCGCATATTATTTGATATAGAAATTTTGCGGAAGAAATTAAGTTTTAGCTTTCTGTCTTATATTTGATTACTACTTTAATAATAAATTAATAGCTCAGATTTTATCGTTTAACTAAATGAATAATATATCCATAAATTCTTTTAATGCTGCAATTTAATTTCATAAATTTTCATTTCAATTGCAAAAGCTAACATTTGAGAAAGGATTATCAAAAATATAATTCACAAATTGTTTTTTTTTGCTGAAAGTTTTTAAAAAAAGAATTTTATTTAGCAATTCTTGGTTAATTGAAAGATAAATGATTTCCTATCACAAAAACTTCGGATTTAAGTAAAGAACATTAATTTCCAATTATTTATCATTCAGAGAAATATTGTATTTGTAGCTATTTTCAAGGTTGATTTTTCCCTATTAAGATATTTAAAAAAAACTTGGTAACTGTAATCATTAAAAAAATCAAAATTTAGTGTAAAGCCTGAAATAAAATTAAAAAATAAAATCAAACTTATTGATTTCTAAATCAATCAATCTTTCGCTCTATTCATAAATTATCTAATTTTCCATAGAAAATGGAAATCAATAATCAATTAATCATAATAAATTCAATGAATTATACTCTTCCAATTAATAATTTTATTATTAGAATTAAAGATTTTTATGTATGATTATAAATTCAATAAATTTTTTAATAATTTATTCTAATAGGTAGAGAAAATTAATCAGAGTAATCTCCAAGTCAAAAAAAAAAAATATCTAATTTAATTTGCTTATATAAGAATATTTAAAGTCACAAACAAAATATATTCTTGGAAATACCAACTAAAATTGTTCAAAAATATAAGAAAATACAAAATCAATTTTAAATAAATGAAACCATTTATAAAATGTAATTTCTAACTAAGCGAAATTCAGATTAAGAATTATTTTCTTTCTTCTTTCAACTTACAACACTTGAAATTGCAAATTCGAAAAAAAAATTTCATGCAAGAGCAGAAACTAAAAAGCTACAAATTTATTACTACCTAAGTGTAATCTAACTTTCATAAATTTTTAATTAAATTAAGTAATCAATAAAAATGTAAATTATTTAGATATCTAAATAAAA